AAACCCTAATGTGTCATGACTCTTCATTTACATGACCCATGGGTTTGTAACTCCCATGGAGCATCCACGGAGCCTCCTATGGGTGGAACCCAACATGATAATCCATGGAGCCTCTTAGCCCACTATACAAGTATGGGTGATTTACATAATCAACCCATATATTTAATTAGTTCTCTTTTGATCACTTAATTAATTCTAAATTAATTCTTGATCAAACTAATTAAATAATATTATTAATGTATTAGAACTTATAATATATTAATAAATACAAGTGGTGGATCGGGTCAAGTACATACCGGAAATAGTTATGGACTTAGATACCTTATCCAATAGTTTCCCACTTGGATAAGTCTAACAACTATAACTGCAAGTATGACTTCAGGAACCAATAAGCAATCGTACGTATTTCAAGGTTTCTTGGAACTGAGAAGATGATGATACAGAATTTTATGATAAGTGATCATATAATCCTATGTTCGAGATATCATTCGGACAAATACATGGCACAATGTCTTACTTATTGTCCAACAGTTTGTTTCCCGATTTTCGATTTGTTTGAAAATGAACTTAATTAAACACATCAACTTAGTTCTGACTGGGTCCGGTACATAATTCAAACCAAAATCATTGAGGGGCCCAGATATCAACTTCTAATCCAAGAAGGAACAGATAAACTTTGACTCATATGTTTGTTCTATCACTCATTCAATTATACACAAAAGCACGTTTTATAACATCGAGTTACCAATGGTTTTACGTACAATCAATGCATAACCAACTTGTAAGTAACAAATCATATCTCTAGGTTTGAAGACTTATATGATATTACAGTCTCACGATCACTCGACATAAATTCCATGAAGTGATTCCAGTGAGCGCGGGTTGTGTCCAATGCTCAGACTTATTAGCACTCATGATTGTTGTAGCCATGTCCAACAACTTAGACTTCTGTAGCCAATCATGACAGTCTTGATTCATACCTACATCCGACATATGACCGATTGTGGAGGTTCAAATAATATGATATACCAAACATAATTATTATGGAAGTGAAAACATGCAAAAGAAATATAGTAAACGATTAACAAGAGATAGAAACACTTTACTTATAAATAAAACACCTTTTATTCATCATTTAATGTCAATTACACTTTACAAATTTCAAGGTTATCTAACTACTAAATCTAATATCATCCTTCAGCCCTGTGCTCCGAGCATGCTGGAAAGGCTTAACCCGAGTCAGTCCCTTCGTGAGGGGATCTGTTGGATTCTCATGCGATAATACCCTCTTTGGTACGAGGAGTCCTTCTTCTATTCGATGTCTGATGAAATGGTATTTTCTGTCGATGTGTCTGGATCTCCCGTGATCCCTTGGTTCCTTGGCTAAGGCCACAGCACTTTCACTATCATAGAAAATTTCCACTCGCTCCTTAATAGCTGGTACAACTCTAAGGTATCCAATGAAGTTCTTCAGCCATATCGCCTCCTTTGCTGCCTCGCTAGCTGCTATATACTTTGATTCACAAGTTGAATCAGCCACTGTCTCTTGCTTGGAACTCTTCCAAGAATTGGCTCCGCCGTTTAGGGTAAAGATCCAGCCTGATTGAGAGCGGAAATTATCCTTATCAGTCTGAAAGCTAGCATCACTATACCCTACAACTCTCAAGTCTTCACTCCCACCGAGGGTAAGAACCCAGTCCTTAGTCCTCTGTAGGTACTTGAGGATATTCTCTACCGCAGTCCAGTGTGCCTTGCTAGGGTTCCCCTGATACCTGCTAACCATGCTCAAGGCAAAGGCTACAACAGGTCGAGTACACGTCATAGCATACATGATCGATCCTACAGCCGAAGCATAAGGTATTCGACTCATTTCAAATATCTCAGCCTTAGTACTATGGATTTGTGTCTCACTCAATCTGGCGTTACTCTATATGAGTAACTCTCTTTTCTTGGAATCATGCATGTTGAATCTCTTCAACACCTTATCCAAGTAGGTACTCTGACTAACTCCAATTAGTCGTTTACACTGGTCTCTCCAGATACTTATCCCTAGAATATAGGTAGCTTCTCCTAGGTCCTTCATATAGGAACACTTCCCAAGCTAAGACTTAACTTCCTGCAGAGTTGGGATTTCATTCCCTATGAGTAGTATATAATCCACATGCAATACCAAAAAGCTAACTATACTCCCACTAGCCTTGACATATACAAAAGATTCATCTTCACTCCTAGAAAAGCCAAACTCAATGACTTTCTCATCAACGCAAAGATTCCATCTATGAGGTGCTTGCTTTAATCCATAAATGGATTTCTCAAGCTTACACACTCTATTAGGGTACTCTATATTGACAAAACCCTCTGGCTGACTCATGTAAACATCCTCATCAAACTTTCCATTAAGGAAAGCGGTTTTGACATTCATTTACCAAATTTCATTGTCATGAAATGCAGCTATGGCTAACAGAACCCTAATAGACTTAATCTTGTCCACTGGAGAAAAGGTCTCATCATAATCAACTGCTAGAGTTTGTGAGAAACCCTTTGCAACCAGTCGATCCTTATAAGTGTGTATATTACAATCCATGTCGGTCTTCTTCTTGAAGATCCATTTGCACCGTACAGTCTTACGACCTGGTACATTCTCAACCAAGTTCCAAACTTGATTGGCAGACATGGATTGTATCTCGCTATCCACTGCCTCTTTCCATTTGGCTGACTCAGGGCTTGCCATGGCTTCCGCATAACTATTAGGTTCATCCAGACCTATCAGTGTCTCATCACTGATAAGTGTATCACCTTCCGCAGTAATATGGAATCCATAGTAATGCTTAGGTGCATTCCTAACCCTTGTAGAATGCCTCAGAGGTACAAACTTGTCAATTGGCTCAACATGAGTTCCCTCCTCAAGTTGAGTGCTAGGGTTTGAAGTTCCTTCACCGCTTGACTCTTGAATTTCCTCAAGGTCAACTTGCCTCCCACTGTTTCCTTCGCTTATGAACCCTCTCTCTTGAAAGAACACCCTCCTAGATACAAAGACCACATTTTCACTAGGTCTGTAGAAGAGGTAACCAAATCTTTTATGTGGGTAGCCGATGAAAACACAACTCTCGCTTCGAGGTTCGAGCTTATCATGAGTCTCGCATCTCACGAAAGCCTCGCAACCCCAAATCTTGATGTGGTCTAGTTTGGGTACTATAACAATCCACATCTCATGAGGAGTTTTGGCAAGTTTTTTTTGTAGGCACCAGATTAAGGATATGGGCGGAAGCCTCTAAGGCATGCCCCCAAAATGAGATTGGTAGCGATGCTCAACTCATCATGGAATGAACGATATCCAATAAGGTTCTATTACGCCTCTCAGCCACACGATTCAACTGCGGCGTCCTGGGAGGTGTCAATTGTGAGACAATCCCACATTCCCTAAGATAGTCGAGGAACTCTGAACTAAGATACTCACCACCTCGATCGGATCAAAGCATCTTAATGTTCCTACCCAATTGATTCTCGACTTCCTGTTTAAACTCTTTAAACCTTTCGAAAGTCTTTGACTTATGCTTGATTACGTAGACATATCCATATCTACTATAATCATCAGTAAAAGTCAAATAATAACGATTAGCATCCCGTATGGCATGTTTGACGGGCCCACACACATCCGTGTGTACAAGATCCAACAAACCTTCACTCCTTTCAAAGGAACCTGTGAAGGGTTACTTTGTCATTTTTCCAAGTAAGCATGATTCGTAACTATCATCTGACCTAAGGTCAAATGACTCCAAGACTCCATCCTTTTGGACTTGGCCTATGCGTTTCTTGTTTATATGTCCAAGACGACAATGCCATAATGATGTTTAATCCAAGTTATTATCATTAATAGAATCAATACACAAAACATTATTTCCTAAGTTATCAACCAAATATAAAGTTTCGTATACATCATCTCAAGGTCATTCTTTAAAATAAAGAACATTATTAAAGAACGCATTAATCAAATAAACTTCATTATCAAATGACAAGGTGAAACCTTGTTTATACAATGCATGAAAGGAAATAATATTTCTTTCCATCTCTGGCGAATAAAAACATTTATTCAAATCTAAATTAAACCCACTACTTAGCGATAAAGTATAAACTCCAATCTTGGTCATAGGTAAAGCTTTCCTATTCCCCGTGATTAAGTTTATTCTTCCTTGCTCCACATTCTCACTTCTTCTTAGTCCATGAAAATCAGAACATATATGAATACCACAACCGCACTACAAGAAAAATAGCCTTTAATGACGCGCAAACAATGAAACTCGTTGATTCATGCTACGTATTTTTGGGCGTCCTTAAAAATAATGTCAGACTTCCAAAATCTGAAGGATAGTGGACACGCATTTTTGCGTGCCCTTAAATTAGTTTTTGAAGAAAAAAAATAAAAAACACGGAGGGCGCTTTATGTTAAACGTGCGTCTTCTGTGGATGTTGCTTTATAATTTTAAGTAAACGCGCCTTGAGAAGATAACGAGGGAAAACGAAACCCTAAAATTTTGAAAACCCGCTTTTCTTTTCTACATTCTTTTCTTCATATTCACAATCGAATCTCCCCTTTTGTTTCTCTATTTCGATGGTTGTTTCCCTCTTGCCCTAAGCACATCGTCGTCGCGAATCGCACACCACCAGGCAGTGGAAGAAGATGATGAAGTTTGTCGTTGTCCTATGCCGCCCTCCCTCACTGTCTCTAACTATCTGTCCTTTCTTTATTCTTCGCTTCTATGATGTCAGCCTCCTATTCACCCCTCTAAAGCCTTACTTGTAAGTCCACACCACACTTGTTATTATCTTGTTCTAGAAAATCAAGAAACATTCAAAAAAACCTTAGGGTTTCGCTCTGAGGCCTCATTTCTTCTTATCAGTATCGGATTTCTTCTTGGCTGAGGGGGCAGATTGACGAGACATGTGAGAATTCTGAGAATGCTCCATGCTCTCTGTCTGATTGTGTGAGGATACAGAGATTAATGGTTGCGACAGGGGTTAGCAAAGTTCCTTATTTCTTCTCTACCAGGTATAATAAATGTTGGGTCAAGTCTCTTCATTCTTTCACAAATCTTCTTTAAAGGAGTATTCTTTATGTGCGTTCAATTGTTCCTTGTTTAGTGCTTTTTAAAGCTTATTGTTGCTAAGATCTATTGGAGATTTATCAATTTATAAAAGGTCACGCTCAGATTTGAGCATATTGTTATTGCAACAACAACAAGAGGACTCACCTGAAGAACAAAGTTTTTAGAGATCTCTTCTGAGTTTATTTCATCCTCATGATTTCGGTCACAATTTGGATCATGTTAATTTTATTGAATTAAGGACAATGGGTAGACTACAGTTCATCTAGCAGATCATGGTCGACTATAAATCTTAATTAAAAAACTTGAATTATGACTTTCAGGTGCAGTAATTCAAGTTTACAGAGTCAATATGGTTTAATTTATAAACAACTACACTTGTTTCCTCAAATTAATGAAAAATGGGGGTGTGAAATAGTTTTGGTTCTTGAATTGGTTAGAGGAATTCATGTGTCCCCACATTTTAAATAGTTTTGGTTCTTGAAAAATGGGGGTAATATATATTATAGTTTGTAGATTTGAACTATTTCATACCTAAAAAGCTATCTATTCATGTTGATTATTCTGATATTGTTTTAGAATGATGTTAATAATCTATTTATTTATTTGTAATGCAAGTTATAATCTATGTGTTGTTTGTTGATAAATCATTGATTATATGTATCTGTTTAATCTCTCTTTACTACACATGTTTAAGCTACTAATATCCCCAATCATGTTTGAGTTATGTGCTTCCAATATGGCATAGATCTATATATGAACTTCAAATTTCATAGGTCTGATTTAAATTGTATATCATATGGCATGTAAGAAATGTGATACTAATAAATACTTTTCCATTTTGACAAAGGAACACCAGCACTTGCCAATGAGATCAAAGAAGCTCTTGAAGGGAACAATGACATGGCAAAGATAGAAGCCATGAAAAAAGCTGTCATGCTTCTACTTAATGGTGAAACACCACCACATAGAAACTTTGAAGCCATGAAGCATGATATCACAATGATGCTATTGAAGCCAACTCTTACTAGAGGTGAATTGCAGGCAAGTGAAATCTAATGCAAGGGTTATAGACATTTTTTAAATTTATTTATGATATGTTTATCCCAAACTTGTAGTGTATTGGTGCATTAGAAGAAGATACATCAGAAGAATTAGTTGTTCAACCTGTAGTTCCAATATCATCTGATAAGAATAATAAGCAAAATAAGGCGCTGATGAATCCCATCAACAGGGAGTGCCTGTAATGAAAAATAATAATAATCAGAAAGTTGCGAGTATAGGTGTGAGCCAGAGGAGTGAAGTTACAAGCGAAACGAATGTGATGCATGACTGGGACCCGTCTGATTGGTGGTTTATGCATGAATATCCTCCACCGCCACCACCAAGTGTTGTGAAAGATGAAGGTGGTGGTGGTAATAAAGGAAAGAAACCAACAACAACATATACCAAGAGTCATAGTAGAAGCATAGTGGTAATGCCAATGGCAGTAAAAATAATCAAGATGAAGCCAAGGTAATAACAAAGAGGCCTACTTCTACAAAAGAGAATCGTTCTACTCATTGCCAACCAAAACCTCAAGCTCAAGCAGCAGCATATAAAGGTTAACGTGGTGGTGAGGAACATCATCATGGTGGTGAAGAGGGTAGAAGAGAGAGAAAGCCAAGAGGAGGAGGAGTACGGATTCATTCCCCAAATAATAACACGGAAGATGAAGCCCCTCCATTTAAGCAGCAGCAACAACCAGGTTTTAGGAAGTATGGGCAAAACAACCGTGGTGGTGGTGGTGGGCGGAAACATAATAGCAATAATAATGCAAAGATAAACCAAGAAAATCCGAGGCAAAATCTGCATTATGAGTATCAGCCACTCGGATCAAACAAACCGGATGCACGTACAGCTACAGTTGCAGCTGCAACTGATGGATATGGGAATGCAATGGGTCAGAGGTACAAAGAGAGGAGTTTAGGTCAATGAAGACAGGGTGATGGTGGGGGTAACTTTTATGGGCGGAAAATAGTGGTGGTGATTGTAGAGAACAGAAGAGAAGTCAGATTATGTTTACTATTTTTTTTTTTTGGGGGGGGGGGGGGGGGGGGGGGAGGGTCAGAAAATTGGTGGGTGATGTGAAGGTATGAATGGGGGGTTATATTTTAGTGGTTTAATAATATCATTTAATAAATTTTTTATCGGTATGGTATGTCAGGTAGGCAATATCTTCTACAATTCCTTATCCTATTTACATGTGTTTTTTTCTCCCATTAATTGTTTTTTGTTTATATGATGTCTGAATAATACTTTAGAAAATGAGTGCACACTTAGGGAAATGGAATGACAAACTATTAAAGGGTAAATTTGTACAACATAAGACTTAATGGTATTTATCTGATTACTTCTATTATGTTGTCCTTTTTGCATTAATAAAGAAACACCGTATAACTTACTTGATTGAGGGCTTGCTTCTTGTATACATGTTTAAGCCAAAAGATAAATTTAAGGAAAAGAGGTTTTAAAATATTATTTATCTTAACAGGAAAAAAGAAACACAAATGGTGTTGTGTATGCAGAGAGGTATTTGCAGCCACTTGTGGATACCCCTGGAGACGTATGTACTTTTTTAACAATCACCCTAGAATAAGAGTCCACTTTTTTACTATTATTTTTTTTACTATTTCCGTATTAGGTATTCCAACTGAGGAAGCTTCTTCCTACATCTCTGCCTTACAACATCAACGTTCATGTAAGCTATAGTTTATCTTTTAAAGAGATTTTACTTTATAGTTTTGATGTGTTTGACTAATAATCAAATATTAAAATGCGTATTCTAAATTCTGAAATTTGTAATCAGGCAGATCATGGACTTCCAACCTGGCAAATTTCTTAATGGAAAAGTATGTCATTACATTATTTATTAAAATGTGTTTATTTAAATCAATAGTCTTGAAAAAATAAAAGTATAATAGTTTTTTGTTGTTGCAGGAAGTCCATTATAATCAACATGGTTTGTTACTTCTAGAAGGACAAGGCATTTATTGTCTGGGTGATAGCTGGTAAGTTTCAAGGCGAAAGACACAATTTTTTCACTTTTGATAAATGCAACCATTGCACTTTCATGATAGATTTACTGTATCCTACACTAATGTAATGTGCTTTCATTTTCATCTTAAACAGACTGAACACATCACTGCCCTCTTGAGTCTCAATAAAATGCAAAACCCTGCAGTGACACTATTACCTTCAGGTTTACCAATCCAATCTACATGTCACATTCCCTAGTAACTGATTCACTAGGATCCATCAAACGCTCTATCTTTCTGCTGAAGAGAACCGTCCCTTTTGATTACTGATAAATTGATGGTCATTCATATTTTCTTTATCTATCCCCTCAAAATGAATTGTATCTCAATTATTGTAGTTTCAAACTGACAAGAAGCATTCAGATTGTCTGGATGTCTTAAGCGAGACACACAACAGAGCCTCAGATCAAAAGATCCAGATTGGTGCTGATCTAGGTGATGGTTACACAAAGCACATTTTTAGAGGCTAGATGCAAGTAGTCTCTCTCTTTCTCTATCTCCTTTTTTTAAATAAATTTGGTTCTCATTGCTGGCTTCCGAATAGCTTTTATTAATCCTTGTAATTATACTTTTATCTTTTTTCTATCAGATGTGCATCCTCAGTTCAGTCCTTGATAAGTGCCTAAGGATGCTTGGTTTTGAGTCGGCAGCACCTTGCGATACATCTTGCAAACTCAGGTATGTAGCTTTATTATTCCGAATAGCTCTTGTTTTCTAATATTAGAAGATCATATGTCTTGATTTCATGCATAACAATAGAGAGATATTGCAGCATCTTTAATAGAGCTATGTAGCATTATAATCCTTCAAATGTCATGGAAACATATGAGGTGCAGTGGATAAGCAAAGAAAACTCTTAATCCCAATGATGTTAATAATCTTCCAGAAACTAAAAAGCTTCAATGTTTGTACGATGCATGATATATTTGCATCCCATGCTATATTATTTAGATGCTTTAACTCTCATTAATTGGTTTGAATGTTGGTGTTTAGTAATTAAACTCAATTTATTCCTCTTTTTATTAAACAAATTTTATTTATTCATGATCTTCAGCTATCTTCTGTTTGTGGGCGGCTTGTAATTTCAAGTGATGGAGTCTAGGATGCTCTTTCCACTGAATCAGCTCTAGAATGCAGTCGCGGATTGGCTCCAGAATCAGCAGCAGAACAAATTGTCAAAGTACGGAAAAAAAAATGTCAAATTTGTAATAAAATATTATGCAATGGATTCTATTTGTGTATGACATTAAATTTTATGAAATGGATTATATTTTTTGTATATGATATTTTATTTTCTATTATGATGCATTAAATGCAAATTTAATTTGAAAATTAGTAAATCTATAAAAAAAAAAAAATTTAAACATTTAAAATTATGATACGCAAAAATGTATGTCATCTTCATTTATGACATAGCCTTTCTTGACAGGGGCTTTCTTGATTCGCATTGCGTGTCATTAACACGCGTGTCGTAAGGTTACGACACGCGAATGCGTGTTGTCTTCCTTTATGACAGGGCCTTCCTTGATACGCATTGCGTGTCGTAAAGGCGCGTTGTAACTGCGCATAGTAAATGAGCGTCGTAAATGTGCATCGTCACTCTTTATGATAGGCCCTTCCTTGATGCGCATTTGCGTGTTGTCTGAGCCATTTACGACGCGCAATGAGCGTCGTAAAAGGCTGTTTTCTAGTAGTGCCGGTATCATGGACCCATGATTTAGAATGGGCTGAGTTATTAGATAAGATAGTGTAAATACCAGCATGGTTGGGATTAACTTTCCCATCCTTCACGTCTTGCTGGTACTTTGGGCAGTTCCGCTTCCAATGAAAGGAAATAATATTTTATTGCCATTTCTTGTGAATAAATGCATTTATTCAAATCTAAACTAAACCCGCTACTTAACAATAAAGTATAAACTCCAATCTTGGTGACAGGTAAAGATTTCCTATTCCCCATGATTAAGCTTATTCTTGCATGCTCCACATTCTCACTTCTTCTTTGTCCCTGCAAAACAGAACAGACTTGAATACCACAACCGGTATCAAGGAGCCAAGAGTTAGAATGGGGTGAGTTATTAGATAAGATAGTGTAAATACCTGCATGGTTGGGTTTAAGTTTCCCATCCTTCACATCTTGTTGGTACTTTGGGCAGCTCCGCTTCCAATGAGACTTTTCATGACAATAGAAGCATTCAACCTCTTTTAGGTTAGAAGAAGGAGTGACGAAACCTTTCATGGTTACACTTGAAGAGGAGCCACCAAGGGTCCTAGCCTTGGTACCCTTCGAAGGCCTCTTTCTTCTTCTTCCCTCGACTTTTCCCGATTGCCAAAACCGGGGTGGAGTTTGGAGTAGGAGTGTTAACAACCGAACTCCCCTTAAGACTTGTTTCTGTGGTCTTGAGAAGTCCCTAAAGTTTGCTGAGTGTGACCTCTTCCTTATTCATGTGATATGTCATGCGGAATTGATCATATCACGATGGTAAGGAGTGCAAAATGATATCTATTGCAAACTCCACAGGGAAGTTCACATTAAGCTTCAACAACCGATCCACATACCTTTGCATTTTCTCCATGTGGCTCGTGACGGACTCTCCGTCCTTCATCAAGGTTGTTATCATGGTGCAGATGATTTCATACCTCTCTTTTTGTGCACTTTGATGGTATCTTTCCATTACATCTTGGTGCATTTCAAAAGGGTAAAAGTCCTCATTGGACTTTTGGAGTTTCGGTGTCATGGTGGCCATCATGATGCATGCTACTTTTGTAGCATCCCTTTCATGTGCCTGGAAGTCCCCAATCTCCTGAGGAGTTGCAGTGGTCTCATCAATCTCCTAAAGCTCCTTATCAAGGACTTATTATTTGTCCTCGTAGTAGGTAATCATTTTGATGTTTCTGATCCATTCATTGAAGTTGGATCCATCAAAAGTGACTTTCGCACACAAGTTCATAAGGTTAAAGGAGCTATTAGTATTAGATCCAGAAGCAGCGTTATTTGAAGACATATGAATGAAGAGGACAAGATTAGTTTAGATATTAAGAGAGTCGTTAGTAAAACACCAAAATGTAATATTAAGGCTAGGATCCAATCACAATATATTATAACTTAGAAGAGGTATGTCGTAATCCAAGCTATAACATATTTGAAAGCTAAGTGAATAACGATTCACCAATTTCCACCATGAAAAACGACATATTGATATTAGGTTTTTAATTGGTTATTAAAAATTCCTAGATTCTTTGAGATTCATTGAACTTTTCAATGGCATATTTCAATCTCGAGTGTGCCCTCCAGGTTTTATGACTAGGATATCGAGGATCACAAAACGAGGTGTGAAGTAACCATGCAAATCACTTGGTACCCTTAATGTTTATCACTCAATCGATGAGCCGGTAAACCTCATACACTCCACCGATACTATGATAAACCTTAAGTCACCATTTACCTACCTTGTTAAGTCCAAGTTAGTGTGCCGGTTAACCACACACACTCCACCAATGACTTAAACAAAGTGTAAAGTGAAATTTCACGGATTAGCACCTTATTCACATTTTTCCTGAAGTAACTAAGATTGGGAATTTAAGAAAACATTTAGTTACTTTATAATATTCATCATACTTTTAATGAAAATTTATAAGTCCTTGTCTTATCCATTCAGATAACGACCCTCCACCAATCAAGTAAGCGGTGGCTGAGAGTGGACACGCATTAAGTTTCCATTTTATAGGCAACAACCTTATAACCCTCCTATAGACCGGCTTCATGAATGAGTCGTACTAGCGGTAAGACGACTTGATCTTATACATACACACACACACACAAATACATATATAATTAAATTATAATATTATAAAGTATAAGGGTTGAATTTTAACTTTTAACATTCTAAGGGTTGGAACTAAAGTTTTAATTAAGACTTTACTTGTTCCAAAACTTGAGGGCAGGTTTAGTAAACTTTCAAAACTTTTCATTTCTTGTAACTTATGAGTTAATAGAGTATTAAAAATGAAGACTCTTCATTTTTTATAACTCATGTGTTCTTTTAATGGCTTTTAACAAAGTGAATTTTGGTTTTACATAACTTGAAGACAAGTTATGGACTCCATTAAAACACATTATGATCATGAATTAATCTACCACATAAGTTACAAACAATTCCTATGATCATCAAAACATCATAAGAACAAGAACATGAATATGAACACTTTAAAGAATCAAAAATTACACTTAAAGCTTGTAATTTTAATCATTGTCATTGTGTAACATCCGGAATTTCAGGTATTATATTTATTCATTTTATTTTGAGTTTTGTGGAAGAACTCGGCGAGTTGGTGCGTAGACTCGCCGAGTAAAGACGCGATTTCTCATCCGGATTAATGATCGGACTCGACGAGTCGCATTGGTGGACTCGGCGAGTCCGCACTGTTTAATGAAACCCTAATTTCTCGGGTTTCGGGCCTATTTAAAAGGCGTTATGGCCTTCATTTGTGCTTACAGTCCCCAAAGCGAAACCCTAGTGAGCTTGAGCGTTTGGAGTGAGAGAAGGAGCCATTGTTAACCTTGGTGGTGTTGTCTAGCAAGGGAAAGGAAGCTATAGCCAAGAGGAAGCAAAAGGGTTAACTTACTGAAGATCTGAGGTCCAGAACATCACGTTTGAGGTACCATTTTCGAACCTTTTTCTGTTGAGGTGATGTTCATGTTGATTTAGGGCTTACTGAGCACTTTTGCGGCTAGATCTAGTGCTCCTTTGGTCTCTTAAGCGAGTTAGGTTCTGGATCTAGACCCTTGGAGGTCCAGAGTGTCCCTTCGTCCAAGCTTTTTATGAGTCCATGGAGGTTTTGGTTTGGGATCTTTTTACTTGAGGTCAAAACACCATTTATGAGTCATTAGGTGTGATATGAGCGCCAAGACATGAACTTTACGTGATAAATAAGCTTAGAAGGACTGGATCTATGAGTTAGTGGAACAGATCTAACCTCAGAAGGTCGTTTGGGGTTGTGCATTGAATGCACTCGCCGAGTCCATTTGCAGACTCGGCGAGTTGAAGCTCGTTATTCCGTGTTTTAGAACGAGGAGTTGGGTAACCGAGTTGGGTGAGTGAGTCGGTGTGTCGGAAGGGGTTCAGAGGAATCGGGTCCTCGTAGGGACTCGGAAAGTCCACGCCAGACTCGGCGAGTTGGGTTGACCGTTGACCATTAAACAGAGTTGACGATGTTGACTTGATAGGGTTAGTCAACCTTAGTTGGGGAAAATCTTAATTAGAGATGTATTG